CTATCGAATAGACTTCCATGCCGCTTGGAACACGGTAATCCGTGCCCACTTGCTTGGAAATGATTTCAACTTGAGCCTCAACCTGCATCGGTGTTAGCAGCTCATGGCTTATGTGATTACGTTTTGAATTTGCAACTGCATTGAAAATTGCCGTTTGTTGGTGCTCGAACTCAGAAATAACCAATGTCAGATATGACAAAAAACTCTGGACTTTAGATTCTATTTCGAGTGCATTTGTTTTGTTGATTATTGTGTTTGTAAATTCACCAATTGTCGCCATGTGTCTTTGGTGTTCCGCCTCTTCGTGCTTGATGAAATTCAATGTAGAATCAAAGATTGACGTGTGATTTTTGAGTAACGCGAGCACATGATCTTCATTTTTGTGGATTAACGACATATCTTCAGCGTAATGTTCCTCGAATTTAGAACCGAGTGTTCCAAATAAATCACCAAAAACGTCACCAACGAAGTGCAGAGTGGGAATTGCACGTTTTGCTCTTTTGTTGTCGAAGATGAGTGAATTTTTTGCTTCCAGAAATTTTATTTTTGAGTTCAGATGAGCTATTACATTTCTGCAGCCACTATTCAATGGTGCTTTTCGATAACAAATTTCCTTGACCGTTGTAAGATTTGTGCGTATTGAGTTAAATTCAGACTGGAATTTATTCAAATTCAAGTGGACAAGAACGTTCCAATCTTTGTAAGTCATGGACACATCGTGCGATTTCTCAAAATAAAAACCAGGCGCGGAATCGAAATGAGTCACAGCAAACGGTTGTGATGACAGTGGGCTTTGGTGTGAACAAGTAACAAACACAGCCAAAATAGCAGTGATTATTGGTAAAATGTTCGAACCAATTTTCGTTTTACGACGATAAATCCGCGTGATGTTTGCTTTTACATTAGTTGTTACATCAACCGTGGTGTCTTCTTCTTTTGGAAATGCACATAATTTAGCTAGTGGTCGTTTCGTGATTCCACCATTGGTTTTTAGTGAAACCACTCTTGTCAATCCGTCATCGCCTGGGTGTGTTTTTATCACTCGGCCCATTTGCCACTGAGTCGGTGGTAAATTTTCATCGCGAATTAATACCAGATCATCCAATTCTGGAGCGTTTTTCTCTTTGTACCACTTCGTTCTTGTTTGTAACTAGTTCAAATATTCGGACTGCCAGCGTTTCCAGAAGTATTGCATTAATTGTTGGACTCTTTGCCATCTGTTAAGCCAGGTCGCTTTGGCTTCAATATGACATTCTTCTGGAGGTGAAATTAAAGATTGGCCAACGAGAAAATGAGCCGGCGTGAGCGCCATCAGATCGTTCGGATCGGATGAAAGTGGGCAAAGTGGTCGTGAATTAACACATGCCTCAATTTGCGCCAATAACGTTCTTAACTCCTCAAACGTAAGTTTGTTATCAGCAATTGTTCGCTTCAAATGTAATTTGACGGATTTAACAGCTGATTCTGCTAAACCATTCATATGAGGAGCACCCGGAGGCGAGAAATGCCATTTCGTGCCGCTTTTTGCCAACTCTTTGCAAACCGCCTCGTCGTATTTGTCCTCAAGATCATTCATATTTTCGCACAAGATTTTATTTGATTTAACAAAGTTTGTACCGTTGTCGCTGTAAAGATTTTTCACTATACCACGTCTAGAGACAAAGCGACGTTACGCGGCAATAAATGCTTCAGCAGTCATGTCCGTGACTACTTCGACATGAATCGCCTTCGTTGACATGCATACAAAGATAGCAATGTATGCCTTCTTTGTTTTGTACGCACGACCGTTCATCAATTTGACTTGAATCGCACCAGTGTAATCGACAGCTGTGTTAATGAATGGTTTTTCGGAAATATTTACACGTTTTTCTGGCAAGTCAGCCATAAATTGATGCATTGTTTTTGGTGCGGCTTTAAAACAATCAACACACTTGTGGATTATCGCTTTGATTGTGCGTTGGCTATTTAGCACCCAGAATTTTTGTCGCAATACTGCTTCAGTTAGCTTAGGTGCACCATGTAAACAGTTCAAGTGTACGTTTTTTATTATTAATGCTGTTACAGCATGTTTCGATGGCAATAGCATTTGATGTATCGCTTCGTAGGGTAGGTCAGCGTTTTTCAAGCGACCGCCAACTCGCAATACTTGTTTGCTGTCCAAAAATGGTGACAGTTTCAACAATGCGCTAGTATTTTTGAGTTCACCTTTTGTGCATAACATTTTGATTTCCTCGGCGAAACTTTCTTGTTGCACATTTTTTATAATTGCCGCTTCAGCATATTCGAGCTCGTCAGCAGTTAATATGCCAGTGCGTTTGTTTTTATTTTTGGGTTTGCTATTGAACGAGAAACGTTGACAAAGAGCAATTACTCGTTTCAATTTTTCATATGTTGATGACTCGGGCAGCGTAAATTTTTCTTTTTCATCCAATTTGGACACATTAACAGCAGCCTCGAGAACTGGCAATTCGAGTTTTGGTTTATATCGCGGTGGTTCCAGAGCCGCATTCACAAGAAAACTCGGACCGTTCCACCACAATGAGTGTGTGCTTAATTCCGCAGGTGAGATTCCACGCGATGCACAATCAGCCGCATTGTCCTCGGAACGTACATGTGACCACCAATCTTTTTCAACGAGCTTATTGATTTTTGCAATTCTTGACCCAATAAATGTTTTATATCTCTTTGGATTGGCGTGGATCCAATCGAGAACGATTCTCGAATCGGACCACAAGCAGATTCGACTGAAGTTGATGTCCAAAATTTTAATCATTTTTTCCGTCATTTGTGCCAAGAGTAGTGCACCACAAAGTTCAAGACGCGGAATTGTAACATTTTCATTGTTTTTGTCTTCTTTTATTGGAGATACACGGGCATTTGCAACCAACAAATGCGCTGTGTACCGTGTACGATTGACAATATAAATTGCCGCTGCATATCCGGCCTCGGCTGCATCGGAAAATCCATGCATTTCGATGGTGTCTGACCGACTACAATTCACCCAGCGTGGAATTCGCAAATCGGCGATGAATTTTATTTCTGCTTTAACTTTTTGCCACTCGTCAACAAACTCTTGTGGAATGCTATCGTCCCACTCGATTTTGCTTTCGTGACGCCATATTTTTTGCAAGATTTGTTTGCCCATGATCACCACTGGGCAAATATAGCCCAACGTGTCATAGAGCGAGGCAATTTCAGACGTGAGCTGTCGTTTAGTGCGAGGTACAGCATCCAAATCTAACGATACGTTGATTGCGAGCTCGTCGGTGTCTGTCGACCAACAAATACCAAGCGTTTTCGTTATACCGTTAATGGAATTTATTTCCCGCTCTTCTTTCGGAATACGATTCAATAATTCATATGAATTGCTGGACCACTTTCGCAGACGAAATTGACCAGATTTCATTAAATCGGTCAATTGCTCGGATAGCATTGCTGCTTCTTCGACGCTGTCTGCGCCGGATAACACATCATCCATGTAGCAGTCCTCCCTTAGTACAGGAGACGCTATTGGAAATTCATTAGAACCGTCGATCGAGAGTTGCTTTAATGTGCGTGTTGCCAAAAATGGTGCAACTGCAGTACCGTATGTTACGGTGCTGAGTTCAAATTCTTTGATTGGTTGATCCGGTGATTCTCTCCACAAAATTCTTTGAAGGTGAGTTTGAGATTCATCGACGCGAATTTGTCTGTACATTTTTTCTACGTCGGCCGTGAAGGCAATTTTATGGCGACGCCAACGGAGAATTATTGTGGTCAGATCATTTTGATCAATGGCACCAATTGGAAATTGATCGTTTTAACTTTTCTTATTTGACGTTTTTTGAGATGCGTTAAAGACTACTCTCAATTTTGTAGTAGTACTATCCTTGAACACACAATGGTGTGGTAAGTAATGGGCGTCTGGGTGATAATGTACTACCTCACGCATGTGACCGGAAATAATATATTCGTTCATAAAATCGCAATATTGGATTTTCAATTCTGTATTATTTATACAACGGCGTTCGAAAGAGAACAATGACGCAAGTGCAGCTCTTCTCGAGTCTCCAAGATCAGGTTTTTCCGAACCCCCTTTGAATGGTAGCATAACCACATAGCGTCCATCTTCATCGCGTTTGTG